TTCCTTTGATTGTAGAAATTATACATTTTTTTTACAAGGCATGACCAGAATTTTGACAGCTGTTAAAATGGCGGCCAAAATGGCGCCATTTTGAGGTTTTTGATTTTTAAATTCTATTATAAAAAATTTATTATAATATAGGTATATTGTGGGTATATACATATGAAAAAAAAAATATGTGGGCGGCTATCTTGAAAAAATGACAGTTTAATGACATGTCAAAATTTCGAGAGTGAACCGATTTTGATAAAAATCGACATAATATATATATATATATATATATATATATATATATATATATATATATATATATATATATATATATATATATAGGATGGCCATGGGCTAAAATGAAAGAAGAAAAAAAAATTCAGCTGTCAGAATTGACAGCTGTCCAAAATTTCAAAGTTGTCCGATTTTGATAAAAATCGATATATTGGATGCCCCCTACCCCATAGTCGGTTTTCGTTTTATTTGTCTCACATTTGAACTGTCAAATTTGACAGCTGTCGTTTTTTTTTAAGTTCTCCTTTGTTAATGAAAATCGATATACATATTATTAGGATGCCCATAGAAAGTTATTTAAGAAAAACCAGGCATAACTAAAAAGTAAAAAATAAATTTTAAGAAAAAGAACTTTTTTAAAAACAAGCTTTTATTTAAATACACAAAAAAGAAAAAAAAAACTTTTTCTTTAAAATTTTTATTATGAACTTTATAACGTCATTACATAATTTTAATATTATATTAAATCTTGTCGCGAGATTTGAGTGTACAGTTGCACTCATAAAAAGGCCTGGTACGACAACTTTACTTTAAGTATATACAATATACATGACAATCTAAAACCTGTGTCTACCCTGTCTCATTTTGAAAGTTTGTCTTATGATACACCACTAGAAAAGGAATTACAAGATAAAGTTGTCGTACAACTGTACACTCAAATCTCGCTACAAGCTTTTATATAATATAAAATTATGTAATGACGTTATAAAAGTTCATAATAAAAATTTTAAAGAATTTTTTTTTTCTTTTTAGTGTATTTAAATTACTAAGGGCATAAAATCAGTTCTATGAATTGATTTTTACAACGTTGTAACTGGGGGGGGGGGGGGGGGGCTGTGTGACTCCGCCCCATAAAAAGTATAAAAATATTATATTCTTCCGTATTACACGTGCGGACACAATCAATGCAAATACGTATGTGGTCCCAGTCCGCATTTTCTTTTCGAAAAATCGCATAAAAAGAGGGAGTAATTTAATTTTTCTATGAAATATATTTTTCTTCAAATGGCATCGGCGGCGGCGCACAGTAGTTCCCTCCCTTATAAAAATTTGGCCAAAACTCAATATATCGAAAAAAATTATTTTGATCATATATGATCAAATATTTTATAATCTATATTTAAAAACATGAAAGGTTTGTTATAAAAATATATTTTGGAAAAATGCACTTTAGAGCACCTATGTAATAACATTTTATATACAATAGTCTAAAAAGCATTTAACTATTTTGTATCGACAATGAATAAATTACTCGCTTAGTGTTTTTTCAAAATAATATAAAATAGTGCATATTATAATTAGACTATACTGCACGTATACTTCCCTCATATAATATCAGTTTTTGATAAATAAAATGAAAAAAAAAAATACTAACCATTTCAAAATATCAAATATATTGTACCTTTGAAATATATTTTTATACATAACTAAATCAAGGATATCGAAGCTGAACTAAGTGATTGTTTTTAACTTAAATGAAACTTCATAATGTCTTTTTTAAGAACCATGTCAAATTAGCTGCTAATATCTGCTATTCAGCATAAATTGTCTTCGTAAACAAAAGTTTTATATAAATGTTGCATGGCTAAGAAATGTGCATTTAAAAAATTGAAATAGAGTATTTTAAATATTACATTGTTAGCCACGCCATAAAAAAATAACCGGCACACATTAATGTGAGTTTTTCTTCACAAATTTATTCTCGTTTCTTTGGTGTTAAGAAAATATTGGTAAAGTTCAGGGTATTAACATAGTATAGTACTAGATATTAACAAATATAAATTAACTTCAGGTTTTAACCAATTTTCGGATATATGTAGGTACCTACTATTATTAACCAAAATTTTAATAAAGAAGAAATAGCATGGCAACACCGCATAGTTTTCCAAATAAAAATAGTGTCCTATATGCACAATTTTATGCTGAATCGAATTATGTACAGAAAAATGGGAGCTGTGATTTAAAAAAGACAACGCTTTATCATTACTTTTTTTGATACCCTGTATATAACAAAATATTTTTAGGATATGCACTGTTATAAACCATGCAAATATCTATATAATACTTTTTTTCATATTTTCGTCTACAACGATGATATTGGACTTTCTCACACTAATACGCCACTCTGTATCTATCTATTTATTAGCTTATGAACTATATACCGGTTATGTTCTAACCATTCTTCAATCTGTTTTTTTTTTCAATTTTTGTTAAATACCTTTATAAAGTAATACCCTTGTAATTATTGGTAAATAAATAATACTTTTAAATTCTAATGAACCATCATCACTGAAAACGCCTAATGATAAAGAACTTTTTTTATATATTAGGCAACTCCAAACGCCTAAATATTTATAGATTTAGTAAAAAATATTAACTGATACATTCGTTTTCACTGATATAATAAAATACAGGTTTTGGCCACGTACGTCCATAAGAGCGAACCAGTGTGCGGCGGTCCGTGTGTGATATCAAAGCGCGTGCCGAAGTCAAAAGGTGCCGACCAGATATAAACTAAACAAGTTATATTCGGAAGTGCACATCTAGAAAATGGAAATAATTTTTGTATAATTATATTCTTCACTTTTGAAAATTTCCGAGCCGTTAGGCTTTTATATTTTCCTATAACTAAAATACTGTGTTTTGTAATATCAAACTCATTATCTTATAGGTATAAAAATGTGTGAAACACAAAAATTATATAAACAGCAGTACAGCAGTGTGAAGCAAAAAATATAAATAATTACTATATCAATAGGTATATACCGTATGATAAAAAAAAACGGCATCCAGTTGGCTTGAAATAAACATCAATGACATTCCCCATATAATTTTACATATAAAATGACAGCGAACTTCATTTCATAGTCATCGCTGACGCCGTTCTTTTTTCGGTCATATTGTATCTTTTAAAAGATTTAAATCTTTTTAAAATAACTTAAGTCGTTAAAAAAAGATTTAAGTATTTTTAAGTCATCTTTCGAAATAAATGAAATGACTTAAGTCATTTGATTTATCGACTTAAAATCAAATGACTTAAGTCACTAAAATGATTTAAGTCAAAAAAAGACTTAAGTTTTCTGTGAGCTTGCAGCTCTGCTAGAGATGCTTTGCCATACTGAACAACACCATAGACAAGAAAGATAAACAACACACTAAAATAGAGTGCAAAAACACGAAATAAAATTTAGTATGAAGTGCAGTTTTACACAGCGGAGCATTCGCTCAAACCGTCCGCGCTGATCGTCCCTGTTGTGCCGTTTCACATGGAGCGGGCCGTCCGGCGTCCGCGCGGACCGTCCGTTTATTGAAGAGGTACTATGAGCTTGTATGAGTATTTTGACATGGGCGCGGATGGTCCGCCCGTATGATTTCGTCCAACAGCCATCCGTCGATCCCTTGCTTCGACGGATCATCCGCGCCTATGTGAAAGTATTCATACATTCAATACTCATGGTACTTGTTCAACCAATGGGCGATCTACAGGTGAAAGTACTCCGTCAATTCTTAAAAATACACACAATGGTCCACGATGGTCCGCACGTCCGCTCCATGTGAAACAGCACTCAATACTCAATAGTATTATAAAACGTCCCTTCGATAGTACATAAATACGGCAGCGCGCAGAGGTAAAAAGAACCATTTTCTTATCGTCTATCGAATCTACGTATTATTTTCTTAGCGCAAAAAACGGGTTAATATTTTATAGCTTTTTTGCCCTGAATATTTTGTCGAACCATTTTTGCGCTGATTAATATTCGATTCACTTTTGCCCAAAGTTGTGATGTATATGCTATTTTTGATCTTAGAGAAAATTTAAACCCACTTTTGCTTTGAACAAAATTTTATCCCACTCTTACTTTCGACCTCTCATATAATATACATACTTGTAGTAAACCGATCATTTGTGAAATTCACTTAAATTAACTAATTATATATTTTTTCTTGCATTTTTGCTTTTATTTACTACTTGTCAAAGAATTTAGATACGTCAATTTGACTTACCTGCTTCAGTAGCGTATCGGATGTTTATGGTTATAAATAATTATTATAACTTATCTATTTTTATTAGAATTTTATATTTTTATAACAATTTTAATAACTACCAACATTTATTCACAACATAAAATAAAAAAAAATTATTGAGTCTACCCCACGTCTACACTACATCATAGTTTTACATTTTTTAAATAAAATTAGAACGGCACTGATAAACCGGAATCTAAGTCGGCCATATTTGAGGCCCATCGCGGTGGACCTAAGATTTTTGATATGCTCCTATTCCTTGGTCTTCTTATTCAAGGCTTGTGGGTCATGGAATATTTTTACTATTTTTTTTTATTTTTTTATTTTTACTATATCATTTTATATTTTTGATTGGATAAAGAATACCATAAAACATCACACAACTGAACAGAATTTTATTTAATTATAACTCAGAAAAAGTATAAAATACCGCAAAAAAGTAACTGTAATATAAAATTTCAGTTATTTCGTCAACGAACTATATTAAAAGAACGTCGCCGTCGCACTGAACGTAACTTAAACCCCGTGTAGTTTTATATTACCCGTCTCCGCTTAAATTGCATTGAAGGGAAAAAAGAAACTTCATACTAGGATTATTACCTTGTCAGCTCAAGTATCAATTACCTTCGATAAAAACAAGTACCTGCGTAAATAAACAAATAAGAATCTGTTTTCGAATTCACGTCAAAATCAAAACTGTCACAAACGAGGTTTGACAGTGGAGAAATCATCGTGGCATGAAATATTGTTTTACGTTATATTTTCTTTTAATCGTTTTTGCAGCGGCTGCTTCGCATTGCGACGATGTGGAAACATCGGTTAAAACAAAAAATCCCGGACAGCAAGCTTCGAATATAGCACAGAAAGCAGCTCAGGAAGCTAAGGCTGCGGAAGATGCTATGCAACAGGCGGGACAGCAAGCGGCTAGACAAGTTAAGACACAACTGGCCGAAAAGGCTGTTGAAGCAGCCAAAGCTGCTGAAGCCGCTTTAGCAGGTACCTACAACCATTTTTAATCATAAACCTCAACCGAAACACTTTTGTCTCGTACATTACCAGCTCTTACTTTCAGAGCTGGAGAAATTTTAAGAGAGTCGATTTTTTGAAATTGTCTCTTTTAGTGTGTGCGCAAGTCTTTGCACAGGGTTGCCAACCGTTTTCTATTACAGAGGACAGTCCTCTTTTTGATCGTACTGTTCTTTTCTCTCGCGTACGTTCTTTTCTCTCGCGTGTATATTGAAAAGTCTTCTTTACACACCTTTTTACAAAAACTCTAATCTAAAAAATAACTATCTAAAAAAGTAAACCACTTTTGGTTTACCCCTATAACTTTTTTAATTTTTTAGATAAAAAAAACGAAATTTGGTATGTTAGTATATGACATAAATTTGGATTAATTTACGTATTCAATTGTTTTTGGTCACTTCATCTTTTACCGGAAATGACTACAGCTTTTGATTTTTAAATTACACTCCCGTTATCTTTTTACTTTATTTGATAAAAAATGACTCTCTTAATAGAGTCATTAATAATCACATCATAATTAATAATAATATCATAATCATCATGTAACGTTTTTAGTTCTTTCATATATAATATATGATGTCTGGCGTATCATCACCGGGCGGGGAGTGATAACGCCCTTCCTTATCGTTCAAGCCGGATAATTTATTTGGCGCGCTTGGCGTAATTTTTACGTTCTCTAGTCAGCAACCCTGCTATCGTTTCACTGCTCTGTGGAGGCGCTGTCAACATCGCTCCAAGCAGGGTTCGGAAGAAGTTAACTAAGACGTAATTTACCTGATTAACTACGTGTAGTTTTTCTTCAAAAACTACGTCTTTTCCCGCCCATTAACTACATGAAAACTACGTTAATAAACTATGTATTGATATTATGAATAATTTTCCTTTGTATGAGGTGTAATAGAGATAATATGATGTAAATATTATATTTAAAGACATATTTTTTCTGTTTTCTTACATACATTATGTGTTATTAAAGCTTCAACTTATTAAAACCTCACCTCAAACCTTTGATATTTGAAAGTTACATACATAGGTTACATAAACTACACCCTCTACATAAACTACATTAACTACATGTAATATAGTTTATAAAAAACGCTATAATCATAATCACACTTAATAATCACATCATATGTCCACTTTTGACATTTTTAAATATGGTTTATTTGAAATTGTAACATGCGATTCATAATGACAATTTGACTCGAAATACCAAGTGTGTGGTACCAAACTAATTGTAAAAAATGATTTTTCTAAATATGTTAATGAGCCACCCTTGTTCCATTTAAAAAAATTGAGATGTGATTAAAAATACGATTTGGACATCTTTTAACTGATCAGGACAAGACACGAAAAATATTAGACGATCAAATCTATTTTTCCAAGGCTCTTTTTTTTCCAATTTTTAAAACAGCCATGGTACTCAAGATTGAAATTTAAAATACGATTTTTTTAAGGTAAATGTCAAAAATTGACCTGTGATATGTCATTCTATTCAGTGTGTTCATTTTCTATCGAATAAAGTAAAAATATACCGAAGGTACCATTTAAAAATCAAAAGTTATAGTAAGATATTCTTTGGTTATAGCCATTTCCGGTAAAACAGGAGTCCAAAAACAATTAACACGTCAATAAATCCTAATTTATGTCATGTACCAAATCTCTAAAAAAAGCTACTAAATTCCAATAATTTGATTCTGAACAAAGCTTACCAATCAGTAATGCCAAAATCCTCACAGATTGCCACCTATTTCAGTCACTGTTGATGGCTCTGTATTATTGACATAGTTTTTATAAACGCACTAAAATGTATTTAATCCTGTTAAATATTAAGGTAAGGAGGAACTAGTAGAACGACTTCAAGAACAAGAAAAAGAAGCTGAAGTTGTCGTCAATGAAGAATCAGCCAACCTGCAACAACTCCAAATGACCGTCCAAGCTGCCACCAAAGCGGCTCAGCAAGCCCAAACAGAACTGAAACTCTTACAAACCACCTTACAACTGGCTCAAGGTAACAATTGTATATGCGCATGCTTAAAACCGTATCTTTTGCAGCTCATTCAAATACATACAGGTAAAAAATAGTTCTAAACAGAATTTCACCGAAAAATTTTTGTGATTTGTTCCAGGAAATGCGGCCAATTCTCAACAGGCGCTGGACGGGTCTCAGCAACAGTTGCAAGACAAAGAGGAACTGGTTGAAGCTGCTAAATCGAGAGTGGAAGAACTTAATAAGATACTGCGTGCTTCCAAAGCCGAGCTGTCCAAAACGAAGGAATCTGCCAAGAAAGCTGAGCAGGCGGCCAGTGAGGCTAAGCAAGCTGCTGGAAGGAGCAAAAGGAATGTAAAAAGGAGCGTTAAAATTGAAGATGAAGAATCATAATATACATACACTTTTAAGTTTTTATGTCTTTACTTGAAATGTAGAAAACATAATTATATTTTTTATATAACACAATAAACTATAATAATTTTTAATAGACAACAATAGTTATTGACTAGTTAATCATACCGTTTTAGAGAAAATTAAAAAAAAACATAAAAATATACGAGGCATGTTTTTTAAGTAAGTACCGTTTTGCGATTCCGCCGCCGCAGCGCTACGGTCGGCGTTCCGCGCATGCGCGCTGTTTACCTACATCTCTTGTCTATGCACAGACGCCAGTACAGTCTGATTCTTCATTGTATACGTTGTTTATTGAGTGTTTAAGATGCCTCCGACAATCGTGAGCCCCGCCGATTGTGAAGTACGGGCTGTCATACGATTTCTTAGTGCTAAAGGCGTAAAACCGATCGATATTCATCGTGAGATCTGTGAAGTTTACGAACAAAACATTATGAGTGATGGAATGGTAAGGAAATGGGTGAGAGCATTTAAAAATGGCCGCACAAATGTGCATGATGAAGAACGGAGTGGGCGTCTTTCGGTCGTTAATGAAGATTTGGTGCAGAAAGTGGACGAAAAGGTGAAAGAAGACAGACGCTTTACAATTTCATCATTGTGCGACTACTTTCCTCAATGTTCTCAGAGTGTTTTGTATCGCATTGTGACCGAGAACTTGAATTACCGGAAATTGTGTTCACCTTGGGTTCCGAAAATGTTAACGGATTTGCACAAAACCCAACGTTTAGGCAGTGCATTGACTTTCCTTGAGCAGTACCACAATGAAGGTGAAGATTTTTTAGACAAAATTGTTACTGGTGACGAAACATGGGTGGCCTACGTCACACCAGAATCGAAACAACAGTCCATGGAATGGCGACATTCATCATCACCCAAAACAGTGAAGTTTAAGCAAACAATTTCTGCCCGGAAAAGCATGTGCACAGTTTTTTGGGACAGAAAAGGAGTATTGTTAGTGGAGTTTCTGCCTCGTAATGAGACAATCAATGCAGCATCTTATTGTGAGACATTGAACAATCTGCGCCGTGCAATCAAAACAAAAAGACGTAGCAAGTTGAGGTAAAGGGTATTGTTTTGCTGCATGACAATGCCCGTCCACATGTGGCTAATCGGACCAAAGATCTCATCAAATCTTTTTAAATGGGAAACTCTAGATCATCCTCCATACAGCCCTGATCTGGCGCCCAGTGACTACCATTTATTCCTGCACTTGAAGAAACACCTGGGCGGTCAGCGTCTTCAAGACGATAACGAAGTCAAAACAGTTGTGATACAGTGGTTAACCAGTCAGGCGGCAGAATTTTATGAGGAGGGTATTGAAAAACTGGTGCCACGTTATGACAAGTGCCTCAATATTCACGGAAATTATGTAGAAAAGTAGATTAAGGTACAGGCTTTCATGTAAAAATAAAATTATTGCGATATCTTTGCACGTTTTTTTTAATTCCAAAACGGTACTTACTTAAAAAACATGCCTCGTACTTATCTACCGATTGAAAAATATTGCGTAAAATAAATTGATTGATTGGTATTATGCTAGCCCAAACATCTCGTTTAGCAATGGAACTAACTGTCTAAGCCCAGTACTAAAGAATTTCATTGTATATTGTTTAGGTCAGATTGTTAACACCTCCTCTCTTTTTTATTGAGAGATCAGTCTAAATTGAAATGAATTTGTGCCAACAATAAAAATGCCTACACAATAGCAGAGGAGATTAAAGCTGTGCCTATTATTAAACTGTAATGTGTGGGCAGATCTTTGAACAATTCATAAAGTTATATCGTTAAAATTCAGTGTTCGCTTTACATGTACCTACGTATCAAATGGTACAGTAGACGCATTAATTTCTACATAAATATTTATATTAATTTTATAAACATTAATACGTATCGGGTCAAAAAAAATAATATAATGTGACTATTTCACCTAGCGCAGTCACAACCTCGAATAATTGAGAATCGGCTCATTCAATTTTTTCAAAACATAGGCAAGAATTAGATATTTGAATACTTTTTCTTTTTGTATTTTTTAGTTAGGAGCAGTTCGAGAATAAAAAAATAAAATATCTATCAACATCCAATAAAAGACAGAGTGCGCTAAGGGTGTAGTTGCCGGACCGAAGCCAGACTCACGGGTGTATCAAGACATAAGGGATGACCCTGTACCTCAGTTTTTATATTAATAAATATTTTAAGCAGACTTAGAAGAGATCATCAGGTATTTCTGTATTTTCTAGTTCTTTATCCCAAGCAGCATTTGGACGTCGGGACAACGTTGTGTTACGCGACCAAACGTCGGGGCGCAACGTCGTCACAACCTCTTGCCAACCCTAGTCTGTACTAGTTTGGAGAATAATTTTTGGGTCGAAACGACGTTGGATACCGACGTTGGCTAGAAGCCTAATTTAGTACAAACTGCAACGTTGTTTAAAATCCTAATTCACAGAAATACAAAACTAATATGGCGTCTAAGTCGCGTTTTATCCTAAATTGGGATAATTATAGTAAAAATATTATATTTATAATTTAGTTAGAGACATATGTCAGATGGCAGTGAAGGAAAACAAAACAAAAGTATTTAAGTGTGGAGGATGTTTGAAGATCATAATTATTGAAACACTTTAACCGACTCTGTAACTCGTTACCCAAGGTAAAAAGTTAAACGCAAACAACTTTATTGATAAATGTATTGTTTCTACTTTAAAAAATACTAATGGGCCTTGAAATTAAAGAAGTTTTAAAAATTTTCTTGAATTTTTTTTTTAGTAAAATGAGAATAATTTATTCGCATTCGAAAAAATTGTTTCCGCGTATTTTTTAGGGTCAAATATTTCAAGTTAATGTATTCAAAAAGCAGGAATTGCTATTTTAAGAACGAAACATTTTCTTATTTAACAACATGGCGGCTTTAACTTTGTTGTTTTGGAGATTAAGATGGAGTAGTTCGAGTAGTCGCATACTGGACTAATAAAGTCGCAGTTCGGCCTTAACAGGTAGTATACTAGTCGCAAGATTGCCTAATTTAGTCATTCTAGAGTCTAGCTTGTGCCGCCCTCTATAATCTAAATAAACGAGGAAGTGTCGGTAATATATGTCGATGTATATTTAAATTTAGTTTTATATGTACCTTTCTTATGTCCCATTTTAATTAAGTTTTTTTTTTATAAAAACAAAAACAGCACTGAACTGTCTGACTGAACAGAACAATGAATTGAAAATTTAAGATTTAAGGTTATGGTTCAATACAGTTGCAAAAAGGTAGTGACTCTACGTCCTACCAACGTAAGAATAAGGAAATCTAAACAACGTTGGAATTAGTAAAACAGACGACGTTTGCATAACGTTGGAATAGGTCCTGAAACTGACGTCGGAAAACTCTATATTGTCCAACGTTGTAACTACGTTGTCCGAATCACCTAAAGATCACTTAAGCAAAAAAGGTTACAAGACAACGTTTATTCGACGTCGCAGAAGCTTCTACTTTGCTGTAGTACTAGTCCAACGTCGTTATAAAAACGTTTAAATTTATTTTAATACCCAAGGTAGGGAGCTAACTATTTTTTGTAACTAATCCAACGTTGTGTTTAGTAAACATGTGGTCGCAAGTCATGGAAATGCTACTTGGGATCCACACCCTCCCTCCAGCTTCGTCGCGGCCTTCCTCTTTTATATCTGCCTCGAGGTGTCCACACTAAAATTTGTTTTGGTATTCTGTGATCGGGCATTCGTTGCACATGACCAAACCATATGAGTTGTTTTGTTTTTATGTCGTCCGCAATTGTGTGTTCTGCTCCCATCATCTCTCTTACTCTGTCGTTGGTTATTTGTTCTCTTTTCGATTTTCCAGCAGATCTCCTCCAGTAATCCACTTCGGTCGCTAATAAATAAATAAATAAATAAATGCCTTTATTGTCAAAAAATTTTTCAATTTGTAGACAAAGGTAAACTAACAAACAAAGTAAAAAAACAAGGTACACAAACAAACAAACAAAAGATAATACAAAATATTATACAAATAATATTGTCAGTCTTACAGCTTAAAATAAACATTTATAAATGTTTACAATGTCAAAGAACAAAAAATAAAAATAATATTCAAAAATATTTAGTTAGTTTATAGTAAATATCAATGACCTCTAAATAAATCTATTTCGATGTCATTAGTAAATATAGCAATAGCAAACATTAGACCAGTGTTTACAAGATCAAATTCGATTTTCAAAATATAATTCATTTACGGCGTAGAAAGCCTTGTCTAGTAAATAAGAGTTCAATGCTTTGCGATATGAAAAAAAAATGATGTTATGGATTTGATTTCAAATGGCACGTGATTGTGCATTTTTTTCGAGTTGTATAATATTGAACTTTTAACTATCTCTGAGAGTGGGGTCGGTAGATAAAGATCTTGCTCCGCGTTCCTGAGTGGATAAGTGTGAGATGGCCTTTCTTGAGAAGCTGATACATGTTTACGTATTAGGCAAATGGATTCAAATATAAATAAGGAAGGGAGAATCAATATTTTTAATTCTTTAAAAAAGCCCCGGCAATGAGTTAAGCTGTTTAGTTCCAGTGAATATCGAACAGTTCTCTTCTGGAGCTTGAAAATACGGTCAAATTGAGTCGCACAACACGTACCCCAGAATGGAAGGGCATACCTGAGGTGCGACTCAAAAAGTGCATAATAAACAGTTCTAGCCATCTAACACTGACAAGTTAAGCTCCTTAGAAACAGACCTTAATGCAAAACAGGCAGAGCTCAATTTTTTCGACAAAGCTTCGATATTTATGTCCCATTTCAGAGAATTGTCCACAACAAGCCCTAAGAATTTTACAGATTTTTCGACGTCAATGGTGGTGTTGTTAAGTACAAAAGGCTGCAATGAGTTTTTATACGACAAAGCTTTAGTTTTAGAAATGTTGAGACTCAGGAGGTTCGAATCGCACCAAGATTTAATAGCGATTAAGTCATTTGATATAATCCTATGAAGTGCCGT